TACGTGATACTGAGTAAGTCACTATTCTTTTAAAGATTTAAACCAGAATATAATGTCTTATGACTTCTTCAAATCTTAAAATTAGGTGTATCCATCTAGAGTGTCGTTTAACGGGTGACCTTGCAGTCGAGTTCTATGACTTATGGAAGCATCGTTCACGTAACACAGTGATATGTATTATCAAGTTTGTGAAATTAGAACTATCACAGGAACATAGGTGGAGATGTACCAATGTTACCGGAAGTACGAGGATTATGTTGAATCTGGATCTCAGTATTACCGACGAGATGCTTTGTTGGTAAGTATTTTTTTTTCCGTTTACAATCAAAACTCTAAAGTTGGCGACTGGACATTCACTGTTTATGGTGTTCTTAATCGGATGTCAGGAATCCTGAAAATGACCAAGTACCAATCATCACACGGAAGGAGAATGCCATGGAGTGATGATGTTCGTTGATTTCTTATTTTGTTGGTAAATGATTTTAAAAGATGATTTATTATTATTTTTTAGCATTTATAATATTATTGAATTTTTTAAATTTCATCATTTTCCATAATTTTACCACACTAAATCCTAAACAATTTACCATTTTTTTCTTACACTACCAAGTAACACCTAAACAATCCCTTATTTCACATGATTTTACCATTTATACAACATTCTTCCCGCGCATGCGCGCGGGCAATCACCTAGTTAAATCATATTTATGTAGAAAGAATCTCACTTTGATAGTCAATCACTTTGTGCGCGAAGAAATTTGACGAAAAGGGTTACAAAAAAATGGATTTTTGACGGTTTTTTTTTTTTTTTTGGTAGGAATGGATTTTTGACGATTGATTATAAACGTTTAATTTTTTAGTAATATTTTTGAGTTCTCACTTCTTCTTCTTCTTCTTCTTCTTCTTCTTCTTCTTCTTCTTCTCGTAAAACCCTAATTCTTGATTTGGCTATGGAGTCCGTCGAATTGAACAATCCCAACCCCAATTCGCAAACCCTACATCAACCTCCTCCTTCCTCCAACGGAGACACTGCTCCACTCGCATCGGATCATATGAATCCTCAGAATTCGGATTCTGTGGCTTTAAACGGTTCGTCTACTCCTACACCCGATACTAATGGTTCATCAGCAAAGCCTGAGTTCTTGCGTCCTTTGCTATCGGAGAACGATAAGGATCAGTCTGGTGGAGAGGAAGAAACTACGAGCAGGAGGAAGCGTCGGAGCCGGTGGGATCCTCCGCCTTCTGAAGGGGGTACTGATTCCGAACCTGGAATTAGGAAGCGTAAGTCGCGATGGGCAGATGATGAGCCCAAGCCGCAGATTCAGTTACCTGATTTCATGAAGGATTTCACCGGAGGTATTGAGTTCGATCCTGAGATTCAGGCTTTGAATAGTAGGTTACTTGAGATTAGTAGGATGTTGCAGTCTGGTATGCCTTTGGATGATAGACCGGAAGGACAGAGGTCTCCTTCACCAGAGCCTGTGTATGATAATATGGGAATTAGGATTAACACTAGAGAGTATAGAGCAAGGGAGAGATTGAATAGAGAAAGACAAGAAATCATTGCTCAGATTATCAAAAAGAATCCGGCTTTTAAACCTCCAGCAGATTATAGGCCTCCTAAGCTCCACAAGAAGCTTTTCATTCCAATGAAGGAGTTTCCTGGTTACAATTTTATTGGTCTCATTATTGGCCCCAGAGGTAATACTCAGAAGAGAATGGAGAGGGAGACGGGTGCTAAAATTGTTATTCGGGGTAAAGGATCTGTAAAAGAAGGTAGGCATCAGCAGAAAAAGGATTTGAAATATGACCCTGCTGAGAATGAAGACTTGCATGTTTTAGTTGAGGCTGAGACTCAGGATGCTCTTGAAGCTGCTGCTGGTATGGTTGAGAAGCTTTTGCAACCTGTTGATGAAGTGTTGAACGAGCACAAGAGGCAACAGCTCAGGGAACTTGCTACCTTGAATGGAACAATAAGGGATGAAGAATTCTGTAGACTGTGTGGTGAGCCAGGACATAGACAGTATGCATGTCCTTCTCGTACCAATACCTTTAAGAGTGATGTTCTTTGCAAGATTTGTGGTGATGGTGGACACCCTACTATTGATTGCCCGGTGAAGGGTACTACTGGGAAGAAAATGGATGATGAATATCAGAACTTCTTAGCAGAGTTGGGAGGAACTGTACCTGAATCTTCTCTCAAACAGAGTGCTACCCTGGCTCTTGGTCCGGGAAGTAATCCTCCATGGGCTAATAATGCAGGGAATGGTGCAAGTGCGCATCCTGGCTTAGGGTCAACTCCGACCAAACCCCCCTCCAAAGAATATGACGAAACAAATCTGTACATTGGGTTCTTACCTCCGATGCTTGAGGACGATGGTTTGATTAATCTTTTTTCATCCTTCGGTGAAATTGTGATGGCAAAGGTAATCAAGGACCGTGTGACTGGGCTGAGCAAAGGCTATGGTTTTGTGAAGTACGCTGATGTGCAGATGGCTAATACTGCTGTTCAGGCAATGAATGGCTATCGGTTCGAAGGCCGAACACTCGCTGTCAGGATTGCAGGCAAATTGCCACCGCCTACTGCACCTCCAGGACCTCCAGCACCAACTCAAGGTTATCCTCCCTCAAACCAGCCTCCTGGTGCCTATCCTTCTCAACAGTATGCAACTGGTGGTCAACTGCCAAATCCTCCTGTAGGTTATTCGACAGCTCCAGTTCCTTGGGGTCCTCCTGTTCCCTCCTATTCTCCATATGCTCCTCCCCCTCCACCTCCTGGTTCTTACCATCCTGTCCATGGTCAACATATGTCTCCTTATGGAATGCAATACCCACCACCACCACCTCATGTGACACAAGCACCTCCACCTGGCACTACTCAAAACCCATCTTCTAGTGAACCCCAGCAAAGCTTCCCACCAGGAGTACAAGCTGACAGTGGTGCTGCTACGTCTGTACCACCAAATGTCTATGGTAGCTCAGTCACGGCTATGCCTGGACAGCCTCCATATATGAGTTATACGTCTTACTACAATGCTGTTCCCCCTCCACCACCTCCAGCACCGGCCTCGTCTACTGATCATTCCCAAAACATGGGTAACATGCCATGGGCCAACAATCCTCCTGTCTCAACACCTGAGCACTCACAAGGTCTTGGTAATGCATCTTGGGCACCTAATCCTCCTATGCCGCCCACTGTTGGTTATTCACAGAGCATGGGGAACGTACCCTGGGCTCCCAAACCTCCAGTACAGCCCCCTGCAGAGAATCCATCCACTGTTGGAGATTCTGAGTATGAGAAGTTCATGGCTGAGATGAAGTAGCATGTGTGTTCTGATGAGAAACTCCGTAGTGAAGAGGTAAAATGTCCTCATTTGATGTTATTGTTTGTTCTCCATACAGGTTTTGAAATTAAAATTTGAAATCGAATCAAGTGGCTTTCAACATAGGATAAAACTTTACTTTCAAAAACCCAGTTAAGAAAGGAAAGATATAGCTATCAAGCTGAAACTTGAACAGGAATTTCCCTCAACTTTTCCAACGTTTTCAAATTGCTTTTTTCTTTTAACATCATTTTTGCAACATCATCAGTTGCAGGATGAACCATTTTGTCCATTATTTTGTTCTTGAAAGCCTTCCTGCTTATGTAATTTATCTGTTCCTAGTTTTATCACATGATAACTAACTGCTCTAGCTCATAATTTGGTCACTGATGTGTTTGTGAGCATGCCACAGCTAAAGGAGTCCTGGTATTCGATTCTGAAACATAGAATCTGGGAGTTGGATGTTCGAATTTTGTCAGTTACCCTTTTTGCTCTATGTTTTGTTCAGTAAACTACTAATGTGTTTTCTGTCCCACATGGAAAGCATTTGTTTTCACTTCTAAGTTTTTCCATCTGACAACATCAAAACTGCCACTAGCATAGATTCCAAAAGTTTGTTATTATATACGGCTCATTAACACGAATTTTTGTTTTGTTGATATTGTTAATTTTTTCAGGTGTGATGTTTCTTGGAGGTCTTGTACCCTGATTTCTTACATCTTTCTTGTTGGAAGTTTGGGACTCACATCTTAACCCTTGCTATGCTGTTGTGAAATATGCAGAGATACAGGCTGGAAGCTCCCGGTTCAGACAATCAGAAAGGCCATAAGAATTTTATTAACGTTACTGATAATATTGCTGCTCTTTTGTAGGACTATATTTATGTCTGGGGTTCTTGTTTCATTTCATAATACTCATATTTACCGTTGATCAGTGTGTTAAGTCTAGTCTGCTTCAGCTCTCACAATTTTTTATGTACTGTTTCAATTTGGGAGTAAAAAACTTTTGGTGGTATTGTAGTGCGAAAAATATCCGTTATTCTTTGTGATGCAAGATATGATCCTCTTACTCTTGAGGTCATCTCTTTCGTTTATCTTGTCTCTTGTGTGCATAGGGAATTCATCAGTTCTCGCAGGAACCTGAAGGCAACAGGGGTATGTTGAACTACATTGGACATATTTACCACTGATACTTGATGGTTATTCTCCACCTTGATTCAGACTTGTATTACTGATATAATAATATCTTTCAAGCTTCCATGTGGCAGGTGTGATTTCTGGCTAGTGATCCAGATTTTAACTTTAATAACTTTGTTCTTGTTTTCAAGCTTGATCTATATCTGTCTAAATGATGACATGCGTGCATGTTCCAGGAATCATGATATTACTGCAAAGAAATCAGCCTATGTGTCAAACTTATGCACAGTTTATGTTGTCTCAAAAGGAGTATATATTCTTTCAAGAGATAAATTATCATCAACACGGAGACACAGTTTATGTTGTTTTGATCTTAGTCTTTCTCTTTGTAAACATCATTATGATGTAATAATATAAGTCTACCTTTTTTACATAAAAATAAAATAGTGCATTGAAAATGTATTTTCAATGCAACCCAACGGTGTAAAGGGGCACTAGTAACAATAACATCAGAAAGAAGAGACTATGCAAAATGAACAACTAAGCAAAAGCAACCATTATTGCATAGGGATGCAATGAGAGTACATAATTTAAGTTCAAGAATCCGACCATATATTTTAACTAAGAAATATAGTCAGAATTTAGTTCAAGACAAGATGGAACATAAATTAACATCACAAGTAACAGCTAAGATGAGATAACTTGCAAAGGGATCAAAACAAGATTGGAATACAAGATTATATTTCTCCTCTATAGCCACCAGAGCCAAAATAGTCTTTTCTAGAGTTAGATATGGCCACACTCTTCTGGTGCTCAAGTTTTGGACAGTCTCGAATACGATGTCCAAGACCACCACAATACGCACAACCCTTGACACCACTTGCATTCGCAATGGTCTCTGCTTCTTCCATTGGATCATTCAGTTCAGCAAGGACAGGTGGAATCCTCTGTTTAGCTTCTTGCAACAAGTGTTTCAAATCGAGCAGCGTGGTTTCGCTTTGGTTCTTGTTTATAAATGTAGTTGCTATCCCAGTTTTCCCACACCGACCTGTTCGTCCTATCCTATGCACATAGTTCTCAATCTCTGCTGGCATGTCGTAGTTGATTACGTGTTGTATATCAGGGAAATCTAGACCCTTTGAAGCAACATCAGTCGCGACCAACACATCTTTTTTCCCAGCTTTAAACGAAGAGATTGCGTACTCTCTGTCTTCTTGATCTTTCCCTCCATGGATGGCCACTGCTTCCACTCCTTTCAGTAACAAGTACTCGTGAATATCATCAACATCAGCTTTGTTCTCACAGAATATTAAAACCGGTGGAGATGTTTTCTGTAGACACTCGAGGAGGTAAACAATCTTTGCTTCTTGTTTGACATATTCTACCTCCTGGATCACATCGAGATTCGCAGCTCCAGCTCTTCCTACATTAACAGTCACAGGTTTCACCAGAGCACTTCTGGCAAAGATTTGAATCTTTGTGGGCATTGTGGCTGAAAACAAAAGTGTTTGACGTTGAGACTTAAAGTGGTCAAAGACTTCCCTTATGTCATCTTCGAAACCCAAATCAACCAACCTATCTGCCTCATCTAGTGTCAGGTACCTATAATAAGGAAAAAAGGAAGGTAAATATTATTGCCATCTAACATTCTCAAGATTTTGAAATTAAATGGCACAACCTCAAGACTCCAAAGACAAGAAAGATGCATTCAGAAAGGAACACAAGTGCGGAAAATTTATTCATGAGAGAAAAAACCCTATCGAATCATACAATAGAGAACATATAGAGCAAAGAAGCTCTAAGCCACTAACAGACCCTAGACAATTCTATTGATCTCTCCCGTTTCCTAGGCACAATAAACCAAAAAGAAACAGATATCCTCAAGAATCTAGCCAAGTGCAAAAGGTCAGAAAACGAGAATATAAGATCAAACAAGGCAGCACAGAGAGAAGACGCAAACATATATTACAATCAGGTTGATTAATCATATTGAAAAGAACCAAAGAAGACGAACTAGAGTCATACCTGCAAGCATCTAAGCTCATCTTTTTCTTGGCGAGCATATCCTTTAACCTCCCAGGGGTTGCAACAACGATGTGGACACCTCTCTTGACAACCTCCAACTGGGATCTCATATCAATTCCACCAATACATAGCAACGACCTCAATGGCGGGTATCCAGCCTCGACCAAAGGAGCCACAAACTGCTCAACCACTTCATAAGTCTGCCTAGCAAGCTCTCTAGAAGGGCAAACAATAAGCCCAATGGGACCTTCTCCCGCAGCAATAGGCATCATCATCTCTTCTTGGAGAGCAATCATGATCATGGGAAGCACGAAAACCAAAGTCTTTCCAGAACCAGTAAACGCAATCCCAATCATATCCCTCCCAGCCAAAATCACAGGAAGACCCTGAACTTGAATAGGAGTAGGCTGCACAATTCCTTTCTCCTTAAGGGTATCAAGAACAGGTCTAGGAAACTTCATATCCTTAAAGTTCTTGATAGGAGGAGGAATATCATCACCATTAACAATAATATGCCATTGCTTCCTAATCAAATCTCTCTGCTTATTCGACATCCTCCTAATATGCAAAGGAGGTTTCCACCCGGTTAAGAGAGGCTCTGTATAAGTGATACCTTTGGCCAATTCACGAACAGACATAAGCGTCTTCTTATCAGATAAATGCTCCATCATCTCTTTCTCTTGTAAGATGATTTGCTCAGTAGCACTAACTTGAGGAACATCTCGCTTGAGCTGAGTTGCTTGAACGAGTAAACTAGGTTTAGCTTCAGCGAGCTTTTCCTTGTCAGCTTCTTCCTCCAATTCCGAAGCTTTTCCCTTCCGTTGAAGTATCTTCTGCGCTTCCATTGCTCTCCGCTCCGCCACTGAAACATACTCAACGTAACTATCGTCGTCTTCCATGATGGATTCAATATCGAGAATTCAGCAACCTAGTAGAAGAGCCTCAAAGCCTGAAATCAACAAATTTTTGCAGATCTCTCGAATCAATCGCTAATACGGGTGACACAGAGGCTCAAAGACAAACTTCAAGACAGAAGCTAATTAACAATCATCATAATTTATGAAAGAACTTCAAGACAAATTTAATGTAGATGTCAAAAAGAGAGTAGCTCTAGCTTAATTATTTACCTGCTGAAGTAGCTCTAGGTTTGTCAAACTCCACAGTCTGAAGTAGCTCTGAGAAAATCATACTCTGATTGGTCTCCTGATATAGAAGATGGACTTCTTTCTTTAGAATCTGAAACAAAAAAAACAAATCAATCACATGAATAAACCAGAAGTGTCAGGTAATAAGTTCCAATTATTATCAATGGGCTAAGTGAAATACTAAACTGAACACAGACTTCAAAATTTTCCAATTCTCATCAAAGTACCAAACGAGATAATTATTAGATTCAGACCAAACCACAGAAGAAGAATAGAGTTCACTCATAAAAAGAATAACAATGCCAATAAGAAGAATAACACAGAAGAAAAAGAGCATTCAAATGAGAGTCTCTGAAACTAAGCTATCACATGGAGTAACTTTGCTAATTAGAGTAAAAGAAGACGCAGGAACTTGCAAAAGAATTGTTACCAAAAAAAAAAAATTACAAAAGAAGACACAGATATCTGCTTGAATATTTGCAGAGAGAAACCAAACATATCACATGATTAAAGAATATCTATACTAACGTTCATGATACTAATCTCATTTCCATACTAACGATGAACTATATTTTACACATATCTTCTTCCTTCATATATATACTAATCTCTATACTATTCTAAACTAAAGATGAACTAAGCCAATTTTGCTCACAAACCCAGAAAACCCAAAACCAAGCTCAAAGAGCAACGATTTGATGCAGAACATGAAGAACCAAGTTCAAAATGTAAGAAATTAAAACCTTGGAAAGAAGAAGGGCTTATTAAGATATGAGTAGGAACTAGCTTGGAGTTGTTGATGTGTTCCGAGGTTAAACTCTGAATCTCATTCTTCTGAAATTTAACAAAGAATCAGCCATAAGCCAAAACTCAAAAAACCCACAATAGAGATTAGAGAGAAAAACCCAGAAAGCAAAACCTTAGAAATCAATTTTGATATTGCAAAAGGGAAAATTAGAGAAATTACTTCGACTTTGGCTGGAGGAGGAGTAGAGGTTTCCGGTGATGGATCTTCGGCTTGGAGTGATGATTCCGGAAAAGAAAGAGGAAGTTCCGGTGGAGTTTGTACTGTGACGAATCGGAGAAAGCATGCGACGAATCGGAGAAAGGTTCTCTTTTGCCTCCGACGACGAATCTGTGATGGAGGAGTAAACAAAACTAGCGTTACGAATTTGGTAATTATTAACAAAACATAAGGGCATGGACGAGTAAACAAAACGTTTCCAATCGCATCACCAATTTACCCTGCGATCACAAATTTCAGTCGCGGATCACAGCGATTGATCGCAGCGTTTAGTTGCAGGTTCCTGCGACTGCTAAACGAACAACTTTCAATTGCAGTTGCAGTGAGTGCCAAACGAACAGCCCCTACAAGCCCAAATAGTTCTTACTTGTCGGGCCGTTCCGCGTTTTTGTGGGTGACTGGCAGGTACTTTTAGAAAAAAAAAAAGTATATTTTTTATTTTTTCGAAAACATCTATGTATTCACCTGTCAGAAAAAAAAAAAAGAGAATAATTGCTTTTCTACTGAAAAGTCAAAAAGCATAGTAAAAATGAAAATTTTATCCCTCTTCAAAATAACTAAAGTAATGTTTTCATCTAAAGTAACGTTTTCTTCTCTATTTCTTCTTTAGAATTCTACTCATTTCTTCTCATTTTTTTACCAGTCAAACCTAATATATTTTAGTAATATTTTTGAGAAAGTTTTTTAGAACAAAACTCATTTTAGAAGTATTTATGAGATTAAAAAAAAAAAAAGGTATTTATGAGAATTGCCCACAAATTTACTCAATTTTTGGGTTTTACTTTAATATTATTTCACTTTAGGGAAAAGTTAATTAACAACGGTCTTCAATTCGTGCAAAGTCTTCGACCGTGTCCCCAACCTTCTCGAACTTCTCTTTGAACCTCAAATAATCTCCACATTTAAAAGACCGAAATATCCTCATATCCTCACAACCTCCCACCACTTCCTCAGGGTCAAATACGACTTCACCGACGAGGGGCACGGTGAATTTTGTTGAGCATATCGGCGATTCTCCCTGAACCAATCAGCGACTCTCTTTCACTCGATCTGAGTCTTTTCTTCACCAAATCGGCGTGTCTCTTTCACCAAGTATTTCTGATGGTACGCATGTCTTTATCATACTACGAATTCTTGTGTATTTGAATATATAAGAAATTAGGGTTTCTGTGATTTTAGGTAAATTAGGGTTCTTTGTTGTTAGTAAAATTAGGGTCCTTTGAAGACAAATAGGGCATGATTGTGGTTACTTTTAGTCGATTTTAGGCATAGATTGTTTGTGTCGATTCATCTTTTAGTTCGTTTATGGAAGCCCTTTTCCTCTTCTGTCATTTTTGTTGTTAATTGGAAATTATATCTACTTTAGGAAGATCCTCCTGCTAATAGCTAAAAATGTAGCATCTTATTATATAAAGTATGATTTTCAAAGTTAGTAATTCATAGGATCGTGACACGTGTCAATTTCATCGATCTCAGATTTTGATATGTGTTAAACAAAAATTTCTTCTTTTCTTAAAAATATATATAAACAAACTATACGCGCATGTCAAATTTATTGATATCAGATTTTAACACGTGTAAAACTAAATTTTTATTTATTTAGAAAAAATATAAGAAAATAATACGTATACATCTTATATAAAATAATTCTAAAAATCTAAAGAAGATCATTATTAGGAAACTAGATGTATCTTATTAAATAAAAATAGAAATCTAAGACAAAAAAATATAAGGCAACCATACATACATATCTTATATGAAATAATTTTTAAAAAGTAAAGAAGATAATTATAAGGAAACTATATGTATCTTATTAAATAAAAATAGAAATTAAAAAATCATTTACTAATTCTAATTTAAAGCTACTAAAGATTGATTTTCAAGGGTTTTAAATTTAAATTTTTAGGTTTGGGTTGATTATTTTAGATTAAAGGCATAGTTTTAGGAGGTAGGGTTTACCTTTAAAGGTTGAAAGTTTAATTTTAGTTTTGTGGTATTTGGTTTACAAAAAAAAAAAAAAAAAAAAAAAAGTTTTTTGGTATTTTTGGGAAAACCAGAAATTAAATGAATTATTGGGAATATTAAACTAATAATGATAGTTTTGAAAACCAAAACTTAAGTGTTTTATTTTTTAGAATTGTACTATACTTTTTATTCGAAATATTATTTTAGTTAAACAATTCTAATTGTTAAACAAACTATGTAAAAGTGAAAGTAAAGAAACATGAGAAGAAACATACACTTTGTTTATTGTGTTCATAGAGATATTTTTTAGGTGGTAGCAAATAGCAGATTTCAACAGTAAAATATGATTGAGTCTAAAAAAGATATTTTGAGTGGTAAGCTATTAAATTGTAAATAGATGTAAATAAGATGAAGGTTTGACCTGTGGTTTATATGTAAAATATTTTCTGCAAAATTTTTGGATTCATATTCTAGGTCTTGGCAAAATTTTTGGTGAATGGTAATTTAAAGTTACTTTATTATTATAATAAATGTACCAAGAAATTCAAACTATAATAATGCAAATAAGTGTATTAAGGCAAAAGATGAATATATAAACAAATCTTCTATCTAATTGAAAATTTATCTTCTTATTTCTTAAAATAGTTTCTATTTTTTTTTTAACGTCGTGCATTGAATATCAAAATGAAACCGAGTTTGATGACAGAGAAAGAAAAAGCTCAAAAACAGAGCAAAACGAGAAGTAAAAACAGAGCAAGACAATAGCGTGAATAAAAACTCGACTAAGATACCGTCGGTGCAAGATAGACGAAGGATTGAGACTCCGTGAAATGGTTACGTGCAGCGTCTCCGTTCCTCCTCAATTATGTTATGAAGCCAAGCTGGTCCTCCTATCGCCATGTAAGAGTTGAATCGACCTTCTCGTGTGACACTACAGGCAATATCCCTGGCCAAGGAATTGGCTTTCGGTGAAGAGATGTGAAAAGAAATATCCCGCATCACCTGTACTACCTGAGTAATTTTGCTGAGAATAGATCGATATTTTGGCCAATCTTTCGGTGTAGCTAACGCCCGTATCGCTGCTGTGCAATCTGACCAAATCTCACACGATTCCACATGGACTTGATGTAGACTTTGTAGACACCATAAGATGCAATGTAACTCCGCAGCCACCCTGTTAAACATGGGAAGAAAAGCATCTCTAGCGTGTAAGACCGCATCACCATTATGATTACGTAATAACCATGCTCCTCCGCAATGAAAAATATCTTTTATCCAGGAGGCATGCACGTTACACTTTAGCTTTCCACTCGCTGGTCTACTCCATCTTGTTGCGAAAAATAGTTTCTATTCACAATAAAAAAAATTAAATATATCTAGTTTTTGTTAAATTTAATTTTATTTAAAATTTTAAAATCCGCACATCGGGCGGATCCTTATCTAGTTTATTATATATCACTGACTTGAACTAACTTTTTCTATCTTTTTTTGGTGGGCAGTGTCTTCGAACGCTTCATCTCCTCGTCATGGTAGCCAGTTACCTGACTGAAGCATGCTTCTTTCTGGTAAAATATTATTATTTTTGATAAAATTTTACTATTTTTGGATTAAAAGTTAATTTTTATATATTTTAATTATTTTTAAATATATATTTAACGGATTAGATATCCGACAAATAGTCTGGATTTTTACGGATATTCGAACAGCCGGATATCCGATCACTAACGAAGCAAATACGGATCAGAAAACTAATTATTCGGATAAAGCAAATCGGATCACGAATACCACCAAAATTTCGGATATCCGTTTTGTGCCCAATCCCTACGAACCATGACTAATTTAATACAAGTGATGATGATTATATATATATATATTTTTTGGTGCATGCATACATTAGTTATTTTTATTTTATAAATTTAATTTTTATTTGGGATATATATTTAACCATATAATGAATCATACTTGATGTACCTGCAAAACAAATTTCATAGTTTCTGAAACGGAGCAACGTTGACATTGCAAATGTTTCGGCTTCTCTCTTTCCCTCTTTTATGTCTAAGTGCATTTTCACATATGTAAATGATCACTTTATTTGTTAGTATTCATTGGATTGTGTTGTTGCCAAAAAACGGACATTGTCACATATCCCTTTATATTATAAGGAAGACAAAGGACGTGAGGACAAGATATAGAGTCCGAGGCTATATCATGCGACCAACTAAAGTCAAAAATCAAGAGAAATTGGAAATTTGTGTATCTCATTATATTTTAGCAAGGGCAAAAAAAAAAACAATTGAAAATATGGAAAAATGGATAGAAAAACCCTTACCTTTTCTTAAAAACATATAAAAAACCTTAACTTTTTTTGTGGGTTTTTAAACCCCCACCTTTTTATAAATGGTAATATAAACCCTATTATTCATAAAGTCAATTTAAATTCAAACAAATCATTATATTATAATATAAATATATATAAATAATTTGATTTAGGATTTTCTATTCTAATGTTTACAATCTTTTTTTTAATTGAAATTTTTTAAAATCATGATGTAAGAAAGTTAATTAATGAAGTTTTATTCGGCTGTATTACAAAAATTCATCAACATGAAACTAAACAAATTTTGTTACGAGTGACATATACATTCTTTTACCTAACCGAATATGAATTTATTTTAATAAATATTTATTCGGTTCGATCACACAAATTGCTAACGTGAAACCAAAACAAATTTTATAATACTACGAGAAAAGTATAAGAATTTCCACATGAAAATATTTTCATCAGACAAAGAAAATAAATAAACATTTATTAGCAGTTAATATTTCTATATAAATTATGATTTATTTAAAATAGAATTGAAATAATTTTAGTTAATCATTATTTAACTATATTTTTCTCCAAAATTGAACCTCCAACTGAATTTTGTTATAATTTTGACTATTTCTTAAAATAAAAGATGAACATCTCAAACAAACAAAAAAAAAATCAAATGTGGTATCCTATAAATTTTTGTAATTTATATAACATAACTTCTAATGGTAACAAAACTGATTTACCTAATCTCAACTATATGGTGAATGAACTTTTATATCGCAAAAACCCTAATTTTAGAAAGAAAAATAGCGAACTCGAATTTGAAAAGAATAAATGATAAATTAAATTATTTTCCTTTATTGTTATTTCAGTATAACGATTTTATTTAAATTTAAGTTGAGTTTATGAATATTAGGTTTTATTTTACCACTTATGAAAAGGTGAGGGTTTAAAAACCCACAAAAAAAGTTGAGGGTTTTTGATATGTTTTAGGAAAGGTGAGGGTTTTTCTACCCATTTTTCCTGAAAATATAGATCATTTATATGAA